AGAAAAAATCAAACATCACCGAGAAAAAAGATCTGGTCGGGGAGGGGGGATTGGTCTGAATAGGTATCAGATTCAAGATTATCTGGGGCAAAATTGGAAAAATACGAAATTTTTGTGTGTTTCTTAAAATGGAAACTTACCACCTCATGTTCAGGATCCTCCTGATTGGAGCCCCGTAAAGATGCCGAGTTAACGTAGGTGCCGTCTTCTTTCGTAAATGAGATAGTAAAAAAGTCTAATTTCAAAAAATAAGAGCAGGCGCCTCTTCCTGTGGGTTGCAATCTCGCTGCCGCGGTGGCCCCAGTCCGCTGCGGTGGCCCCCGCCCACCTCGGGGCGGCCCCAGCTTCCCGACGCGGGTTCCCGGGACACCTGGCGCCCCCCCCCCCGCTCACAGCGGACCCAGCGGGGGGATGGACGCCACGTCGGCAGCCTCCGGGGCTCCCGGACCGGGACAGATGTCTGAACCCCGCTCGCTCGCAGGTCTCAGGGTGCCGACTCAAAGTCCTAGTAGCTGAAAAGAGCACTGGAATATCTCCCGCTTCGCGTTACAATAAACGTATAGTCTGAAATTTGCAGGTAGCCATAAGTAACTGAGGCCGCGGCGATTAGCCTGCCAGAAATCGCCTCAGAAGTCTCTATTAAACCTGCCCGCGCAAGGGTTCAAGTGCCACGACGTTGGAGCTGGGAGAACCGGCAGAGACCCCTGCGCCTCCCAGCTGTGGTGCCCGCGTGGACGGACCGGAGCGTGGAGGGGCGCCCGCCGCGCGGCCCCCAGAGGTCTCCAGGGCCCCCACCCACACACCCCTCCCCCCCACCCCCCGTCGCGGCCGCGTGGCGCGAGTAGGCAGCTCCCCTTTGCTCACAACCTCTTAAAAGTCTCCGCGGACCGGAGCGCGTGGCGCTCAAGTGAGCGCCTGCATCCCTGCTTCGCGCTCGCTAGACAAATGCCACAAACACCCCCACCCCTGCTCTCTCCTGCGTGGGGTGGCTTCGGGGTCTCCCGAAGTTCGGAGCCACGCCTGGCCAAGGCGAAAAGCCGTCGGGGAGGTGGTTAGAGGAGGGGCTGCAGCCGATCAGGCTGTGAGTGCCCTGGGTCCCGCTGGGCAAAGCCACGCTATCTTTCAGGTTTTACAGCCCGGAATTTTAGTCAAATCGGTAAAAGTCACCCGAGGTGCGGGAATAGTGACGACGGGTGAAGCTGGCGGACTTGTCACCCCCGCCGCCCCGCAGCCGGTAGCAGCGGCTGCTTCCAGCGGAGACCTCCAGTTCTGAGCCTCACCTGCCCACCTGGCCCGTCAGGGTGCTGGGAACCGAGCCCGGGCTGCCCAGGTCTGGACCTCAGCCCCCACTGTTTCTCCCTGCCAACTCTGCGCCACTGGGAAAAACACCTGGTTCTTTTCTTTCAGGCTACCTGGCAGCTTTCTAAGATCGGGAGTCTAAATGACCTGGGTGAAGATTACTCCTCACCGTCTCCAGCCTTGTGTACTCACACCAGCCCCTTAACCATCCTGTTTCTCAATGGGGTCATGCTCAGCTTTCCTGAATACCTGACTTTCCCTCCTCAACCCGTCCTCACGCCAGCCTGCTGAACTTCTCCACCAGGAGTTGACCTGGTGGGAGCAGAACTCACCTAGAACTCCTGGGCTTCCCAGAGCACCTTTGCTGGGCTGGCAGATGGGGAGAAGGCGAGCATTTTTCTGTTGAGCCCCTCCCACACCAACTCCACATCTGGATTCCAATGGAGTTTTTCCTCCTGCCCTTTCTCCCACTAATGTTCCCAGTCTAGCTCCATTTATCTTCATCTTACGTACACAGTCTCCATCAACAAGGTGCTAGTCTGTAATTGGTCACACAATCCTCATTATTGCCTGGATGCCAGTATCTTGAAGAAAGTTTACCTTTACATCAATCAGACCCATATTTAAAAGCTCCTAATCTCTCCTTCATCAGCTTAATAAACTCTGAATTTCCTGCTTTTATCACAACCCCACTGGGAACTTCTCTGCAAATACTTTATTATTCATTCATTGTTTCCTCTGTCCAGCATGCTGCTATTCAGTTAATTCCTTTACTCTCTTTGGTAAAATATTGTATGGGAAAACACAGCTAACACTATGTGTGGCAATTTATGCCCTCCCCTAGGCAACAGTGGCAGAATCTCACATTTTCTAGAGAACAATTTCAAACAATGTCTCATTTAAACCCAAGTATTTGTAGCTCTGGAAGAAAAAAAAAAAAGACTTTAAGCTATTCCACATTCAAAACCAAAAGAGTGACTTCTGTTCCACAACCCATTAAATATTAAAGTTCAGTGGGAATACTGCCACAGGGACTCTGAATTTCCCAGAATTATGCAGCCTTTCAATGTGTATTAAATTTTGTGGTAAATTGTCATAAACTTTTCCGTCTCTGGAAATCCCTTTCCTGCCTCAATTACACAAAGCTATCCAAGTTATTAGATAAATCTTAGAAAAATTTTATTCTAAAGTGAATCTAGTTAAGCAACTACTCCCATTGTCCACCTATGGCCTCTTTTATTGAACTGACTTTACTACACAATCTCACTTTAAAAGTGAGATCTATCTCATTTAAGTTCAGTGAGCATAAAAAACAACACTTGTAATTGTTACAGGTAATTTAATTTATAAGAAAATCCCTACTGTATTATAGAAGATGTTTAAAGATAACCTGGGAACCAGTAAAACCGATATTTATTAATGTAACTAACCAAGCGTGGATCTGACACCTCACCAGGGACCGCTGTACTATAGCTTCAAAGTCAGTCCCCCTTCTCTGGAAACCCACATGGAATACGATGCGCCCCTCTGGGCAGCTAGAAGAATGTACTGAAGAGCTTGTGATGTTTTATACATTAAAGCTGATAGTTGCCGGCATCCTAATAATTGTAACCACCTATATCTGGCTGTTTTCCCAAAATTTAAAAGCAGACACTCATATTACTATCCCAAAAAGTAGATTTTTGGTCTATGGATGATGAAGACAAGAACTGTAAGTAGACAGGTAGATGTTTCTCCTGGTAGCATTAAAATATTGCCGTCTGTTAAAACCAAAAATTCAGAGCTAATTAACTATTAGTGAAATCATTTCTTCAAAAACTGGCTATTTCCTTTTTTAAATTACAAAACCCAATATTCTAGGTAAACAAAAACTTTTCAAAAATAGTATTTCTTGGAAGCTTTGTCCCCAAGGCAATGGTCAGCCAGAAAGTAAATGGAAGTCTCTATATTTCTGTTTGGAAGGGAATGGTCTAAGTTAAGGAAGCCTCCAAGAACCTAACCCTGATTATTAAAACCGGTTCAGGACACTTGAGCGGTAAAGCTGGTCCTCATTAACCCGACATATCTCTTCCCTTATCTCGAAGTTTGCAGGACAATTTCCTTAATTCCCAAGGAGAATGTTCTCTTTAATATTTGTGCTAACATCACCTTACTTTCAGGAAGTAAAATATAAATATGGCTCAATTTTCCCACCTCCCACTTTCAGTAACTGCCGGCAGGTCACCCCCCTGGTGGGGGGGGGGGGTGGGGACAGTTACGAAATCCTGCCTTAAAAGCGTCCACTGGCCATCACGTTGCCCGTGGTCTTTTAACCGACGACACCTACCCAGAGACCATAGCTGTCTGACAGACGCATTTTATTTCCTTACCAGACTCGACCTGAACTAAGATGGCAACTCCCTCTCAAAACAAACCCGTACAAAGGAGACACTTGTGGATTATTTCACTGGCGGGCCAAGGACGGTGAAACGCAATACCAGAGATTCCTCATGAGGAGTGGATCGCGGGCAGTAAGCTGGCCGCTTCCTCAGTGCACCCACTGCGGTCAGGCTGAGGGTAGAACTGCCCCCGGCTGCCAAAGGGTTAAATATTTGCGAAGGGTAAAACTTGAGCCTCCCGGTTTTTTGTGCTTGCCCGGGGGCCTGCTGGAGATTCAGTATCTCTCGGTTATTTCCTGCGATCACTAAAGCCAGTTTTCAAGAAAACAAGTCACAAGGGTTTGAAATGTCACACCAAGTGACCTGGGCACGGCATGTCCAGGGGCCATTCCCAGCCCCCTCCCTCCCGGCCGGCCCCCGCCCGCCGCATCTCGGGTCTGGAAAGAAAATAAACCAAGGACACGCCAGACTGGTTCTGGGTGGACTTATTTTCCCTTGCAGCCGCGACCCGGGCTGGGGCTTGTTGTGGCTCCTTCAGTGTATCGCTTGCAGGTGATGCCAGATACAGATAAGGAGCCGCCGCCCGGCCCTCTCCTCAGTCTAGACGGGGGAATTAATAAATGCGGCGGGATGGATCGCGGCGCGCGTCCACGTCGGGGACAGCGCCGAGGACCGGCCGTCACGCCGCCGGGTCTGTCTGCCCCCCTCTCGCCCAGAGGCCGCGGGCCCGTCCCGGATTTAGGCGGGAGGCGCGGGGTGAGGAGTTCCGGCCTCCGGACGAGCACTGCAGCGCCCCGAGGGCCCGAAGGCTCCGGTCGGAAAAGGAGCGAAGAGCGGAGGCCCGGGTCGGGGGACGCGGGTCAGCTCGGCTCCGCCGCAGAGCGGTTTGATGGGGAATGCGGCCCCTTCACCAGCCTAACTCGCGGCGGGAGCTGCGGCCCCCGCGCCTCGCAAGTTTCCCGCCC